TCTATGTCTGCAAGTCTGTTTCTGCTTTGTAGATAAGTTCATTCATGTCATCTTTTTTATTTGTTTTTATTTGATATGCAAGATCTTAGTTCCCCAATCATGAGGGATCGAACTCATGTCCCTTGCATTGGGAGTGCAGAGTCTTAACCACTAGACCACCAGGAAAGTCCCATTTGTGCTGCATTGTAGATTCCACATATAAGTGACATCATAAGGTATTTATCTTTCTCTGACTTACTTCAATTATTATGAAAATTTCTAGTTGCATCCCTGTTGCTGCAGATGACATTATTGTGTTCTTTTTCATGGCTGAGTAATATTCCATTGTGTATATGCACCACATCTTTATCTGTTCTTCTGTCGATGGACATGAAGGTTGTTTCCATGTCTTGACTATTGTGATTAGTGCTGCTGTATCTTTTTGAATTAGTTTTGTCTGAATATATGCCCAGGAGTGGAATTGCTGGGTCATAATGGTCACAGTTTTAATTTTCTGAGAAACCTCTTTGCTGTTTTCCATAGTGGCTACACCAACTTACATTCCTGCCAACAGTGTAGGAGGGTTTCCTTTTCTCCAAATCCAACATGTGTTATTTGTAGACTTTAAAAAAATAAATAAATTTATTTATGGCTTCTCTGGGTGGTCTTTCTGGTGCGTGGGCTGCCTGTTGTGATGGCTTCTCTTGTTGCAGAGCACTGGCTCAGTCATTGCAGTGCTTGGGCTTAGTTGCTCCTTGGTTTGTGGGATCCCCCTGACCAGAGGTTGAACCCGTGTGTCCTGCATTGCCAGGGGAATTCTTAACCACTGGACCACCAGGGAAGTCCTGTAGACTTTTTAATGATGGTCATTTTGACGTGTGTGAGTTGGTATTTCATCTATAATTCCTTTTTTGTGTGTGAAATTTCTAGAGAAAGCAAAACTACATAGTAAGTAGATCATTGGCTATCTGAAGCTTTGGATGGGAACAAGAATTGACTGCAGACAGGCATAAAGGATTTTGGGGGTTGACAGCAGTATTCTAAAACTGGATTGTCGAATTGGTTTTGTAACTATATAAAATTGCTAAAATCACTGATCGTCCATGTGAGCTCTATGATAAGTACAGAATTGTTAAAAGATTAACATAAACGATTGAGAGGACTTCCCTGTTAGACTTTGCACTTCCAGTGCAGGGGGTGTGGGTTCCATCCCTGGTGAGGGAACTAAGATCCCACATGCTGCATTGTGTGGCCAAAAAATAAATATTAATAAAGATAAAATATAATAGAATTTGTAATCCTTATTCTTAAAAAAGAAAAGATTGATATAGCTGTGATTATGTCAGGGAGTACTATTGTTATTCCCATTTTATAGATAAATAAAAGTTAAAAATAAAAGCTTCAGGACTTCCCTGGTGGCTCAGGGGTAAAAAATCTACCTCCTAGTGGAGAAGACACGGGGTTGGATCCCTGATCTGGGAGGATCCCACATGCCACGGAGCAACTAAGCCCATGCACCACAACTATTGCTCCTGTGCTCCAGGGCTGGGGAGCCACAACTACTGAAGCTTGCATGCCCTGAAGCCTGTGCTGTGCAACAGGAGAGGCCACCCCGATGACAAGGCCTCACATGCAACTCGAGAGCAGCCCCCTCTTGCCACAGCTAGAGTAAAAACCTGTGCAGCGACAAATACCCAGCACAGCCAAAAATACACAAATAAAATTTCAAAAATAAAGGCTTCATGGTTATAGAGCTACTAAGTATAATATGCAGTATTGGAACTTGAGTCTTTTTGACACTAAGGCATACTCTTGACCACTGTAATATATTCACTTTCTATTTTAAAATTATTTGCTGTGTCTTGTTGATCAGAGGCTCTCTTGGAATCATAAAACAGAGAGGAAAAAAAGATAGAGACTGGAAAATTCTATCGATCCTATACACTAGTACTTCCATTTTCACTGGATGTAGGTGACAGCAAGTTTTTTGTCCAGTGTGAGTTATATTACCACACCTTACTTGGCTCTTTGGCAGACTGTGTTCTCTCTTTCAAATCATTAAGTTAAAGAGTTTAATTAGGGTCACTGGTAGCTTAAAAGGCAAAGACTGTATCTTCCAAAAATATTCTCTCCTAGGGAAAATGGATACACACAAATGAATATATATAATCTTTACTGCTTTTTATGATTACCATTAGCATTAAAAGATTGCTATATTGATTAGCATTAAGTATGGGGAGATATTGGTCAAAGGGTAAAATTTTTAGTTATAAAATGAATAATTTGTGGAATCTGATGTACAACATGGTAACTATAGTTAACAATATTGTAATGTAACTTGAAATTTGTTAAGAGTAAATCTTAAGTGTTCTTACCACACGCATTAAAAAATGGTAACTAGATGAGGTGGTGGATGTGTTAACTATATTGTGTTGATCATCTCACAATATGTATATTAAATCATGTTGTACCCCTTTTAAATTCATATAATTTTATCAATTATACTTCCCTAAAGCTGGAAAAAATGAAGCATTAAGTGCCTACTGTGCTAGTCACGGAGGAGGCAAGTGATAATCAAACAGGCATGGTCTCTGCCTTCTTGCAGCTTTATTTAGTCACTTCTTAGTGGGAGAAGCAGGCATGATGCTTAAGCACTATAAAATTATAAAATTTTAAATTGTGCTAGGTTCAACAAAGGAAAATAAAAGGTTCTCTGAGGGAGCATAACAAAGCTTCCTGATTTTAACTAGGGTCGAAGAGAAGACCTCTATTAGGAAATTACATTTAAACTGAGACCTAAAGATCAGTAGAAATAAGCAAAGGGGAGGAAAGGAAAAAAAAAAAAAAACTTACCTGGTAGAGGGGCAGCCTGCTTGCAGAGCTTCATTGATGACCACACAGCAGTGTAACAGAATATCCAGAGCAGGGGAAAGCTTGAGAACTTGGATACTATGCTAAAGATTTGGTGTTTTATTTCAAGAGTAGTAAGATGCTCCTGAGGAGCTGTGAGCTGGAGAATCTTCTGATCCAATTAAAATTTTAAGAACATCACTCTGGCTACTGTGAACAGTGGATCCAAGGAAGGTTCAGTTCAGTTGCTCAGTCATGTCCGGCTCTTTGTGACCCCATGGACTGCAGCACACCAGGCCTCCCTGTCCATCACCAACTCCCAGAGTTTACTCAAACTCATGTCCATTGAGTCTCCTCCTGCCTTCAGTCTTTCCCAGCATCAGGGTCTTTTCAAATGAGTCAGGTCTTCGCATCAGGTGGCCAAAGTATTGGAGTTTCATCTTCAACATCAGTCCTTCCAATGAATATTCAGGACTGATTTCCTTTAGGATAGACTGGTTGGAGAAGGGAGTGGCAAACCACTTCAGTATTCTTGCCTTGAGAACCCCATGAACAGTATGAAAAGGAGGGTTCTGCTGGCTAATGAAGAGGTCTTAGGAAAACTATGGGGTTTATTGTTAAAGGGAAAACTATTTCAGCTTTTAAAAGCTAGTTTTTGAAAACCAGAATGTCAGTTAATTCGTGAATGGGGGAAAATGTTTGATAAATCAGTACATCTGAAAAACCCACTAGATCTCAAACTTTAATGTACATTCATATCACCCTGGCATTTTGTTAAAATGCATTTCTGATTCAGTAGGTCTGGAGTGGGAACATTTCTAACAAGCTCCCATGTGATGTCCATGCTCTTGGTCTTTGGCTCACACTTTCAGTAGCAAGTGACTGGGCTACTATGTATGTTCTAAATTCTATATTCTAATTGTCTAATACCTATCAGCATTCTTAGTTGTTTGGACAATTGTCAATTTTGAGTATTTAAAAACTGGAGGTTTTAAAAGATGAATTAAAGTATTGACATAGGTCAAATATGGCTTTTCATCTCTTCTATAAATATCCTATATATACTTACTTCCTATATACTTATTTAACCTGTCTTTTTGCTGCTTGGCCTCAGATTTCAGTTAAATTTCAGAAAGGACTATATGCAATGAATGTGTACAGAAATAGTATGTGATTCTTTAGGTCTAGTATTTAATGGGAGATGTATATCACTGACTTACTCTGATGCCAGAATTTTATCTGCCTTATTGATTTAATAAGATAGGAACACAGAAACCCTTAGAGGGTAGTTTGTTTGTATGACTGGGTTCTAACTTATAGTTGACTCTCTTATTCATTATCCTAGTCATTACTGTTTTGTTTGAGTACAATCTTAAATGCAAAAAATTAAGATTTTGGATATCCCAATCATTTTATAAATGTCCCAGGTGGTAAATAAAACCTGATCATTTTTCTTTTTCTTTTTTTGGGCGGGGGTGGGGAGTGAGTAGGGGGATATTATCCTTTATTAGGAATGCAACGTCTTTTTGTGGCATGCCTCATGATCTTGAGAAACAGATTGATTAAGTAAAGGGAAACTTTGGAAATTATGCTTTCTGATTGAGATTATGCTTGTTGGGACAAATAGGATAGAAAAATTTCACATTGCTCCCTCATTGTTAAGAAATAAGAACTAAGCAATAACATTCAATTTAAAAAGATATCTGAATTATATTTTTAAATTTCACAAAACAAAGTAAAACCAAACAGTGGTAGCGCCTGTAGATTTTTCTCTACTGGGGAAGTGACCAGAATGCTACAGTCGCGTTTGTTAAGAAAGAAAACTAAAATTGTTATTAACACCTCAAAGAAAAAAAAATGCGAAACGCCTCTCTACTAGTAGAGTCCAGCTAGGTGAGTTTTACCTAGTCCTCCAGTAAACCAGGTAACGTTATGTCGTTTTTTGGTTTGGTTTGAACCTCCTTCTTGGGATTAAAGATATTGGTTAAAATGTTTAACAGACTTTAGTTCGGCTTTTAGACTTGCAGGAAGGCCAGCTTCATCACCCTGTAGTTGGCTTTCCAGCTAAGGTGGATTTCGGATGTGCAGCTTCTGCCAAGGAGCTCTGGCTGTAAACTCTGGAAGGAAGCCAAAGGAAAGAAGTTCCCGGCGCTAGTGCATGTCCCGCTCAGAGTCCGGCGCTGGCGCATTTTTCGTGCAGTTATTGGCTGGGACTCTGCGTGCCGCTGTCGGCCAATGGAGACGCTGGAGATCTGGCCCCGGCCCGTCCCCTCTCGGCGCCGCGGGATGAGGCCGAGACTGAACAGCCGGCGAGCAAATCAGCGGCATCCAGAAAGCCATGTCCGACTCGGAGCCCAGCGCCCGAGCGCTAACCCGCTGAAAGTTTCTCGGGAAAGAAGCCGGGACGATCTGGACCCTGCTAAGAGGAACTGTCTTTGAGTGAGATGGTCCCAGAGGCCTGGAGGGGCGGACTGGTAAGCACCGGGAGAGTGGTGGGAGTTTTGCTGCTTCTGGGTGCCTTGCACAAGGCTTCCGCCGCCGTCATTCGCTATGAGATCCTGGAGGAAAGAGAGAAAGGTTTCGTGGTGGGCAACGTGGTCAGGGACCTTGACTTGGATCTCGGCAGCCTGTCAGCCCGCAGGCTCCAGGTGGTGTCCGGAGCTAGCCGAAGATTCTTTGAGGTGAACTGGGAGACCGGAGAGATGTTTGTGAACGACCGCCTGGACAGAGAGGAGCTGTGTGGGACCCTGCCCTCCTGTACCATAACTCTGGAGTTGGTAGTGGAGAGGCCGCTAGAGCTGTTCAGCGCGGAAGTGGTGATCCAAGACATCAACGACAACAATCCCTTTTTTCCTACTCGGGAAATGAAATTGGAGATTAGCGAGGCCGTGGCGCCGGGAACGCGCTTTCCGCTCGAGAGCGCGCATGATCCCGATGTGGGAAGCAACTCTTTACAAACCTACGAGCTGAGCCGAAACGAGTACTTTGCGCTTCGAGTGCAGACGCGGGAAGACAGCACTAAGTACGCGGAGCTGGTCCTGGAGCGCGCCCTGGACCGGGAGCGAGAACCGGATCTCCAGCTGCTGCTGACGGCATTGGACGGAGGAACTCCGGCTCGCTCAGCCAGCCTTCCTATTCGAATCGTTGTGCTGGACGCGAATGACAATGCGCCCACCTTCAACCAGTCCTTGTACCGGGCGCGTGTCCTGGAGGATGCACCCCCCGGCACTCTCGTGGTGCAAGTCCGTGCAACGGATCTGGATGAAGGCCCCAACGGCGAAATCATTTACTCCTTCAGCAGCCACAACCGCGCTGGCGTGCGGGAACTTTTCTCCTTGGACCTTGTTACCGGGGTGCTGACAGTCAAGGGTCGACTGGACTTCGAAGACGCCAAACTCCATGAGATTTATATACAGGCCAAAGACAAGGGCGCCAATCCCGAAGGAGCACACTGTAAAGTTTTGGTAGAGGTTGTGGACGTGAATGACAACGCCCCGGAGATCACAGTTACCTCCGTGTACAGCCCAGTCCCCGAGGACGCTCCTCTCGGAACTGTCATTGCTTTGCTCAGTGTGACCGATCTGGATGCTGGGGAGAACGGGCTGGTGACGTGCGAGATTCCGCCAGGTCTCCCTTTCAGTCTTACATCTTCCCTCAAGAATTACTTCACTTTGAAAACCAGCGCAGCCCTGGATCGGGAGACCGTGCCAGAATACAACCTCAGCATCACGGCTCGAGATGCGGGAACCCCTTCCCTCTCAGCCCTCACGACAGTGCGGGTGCAAGTGTCCGACATCAACGACAACCCTCCACAATCTTCCCAGTCTTCCTACAATGTTTACGTTGAGGAAAATAATCTGCCTGGTGTTCCAATACTAAACCTAAGCGTCTGGGACCCCGACGCCCCGCAGAATGCTCGCCTTTCGTTCTTTCTCTTAGAGCAAGGCGCTGAAATAGGCCTAGTGGGTCGCTATTTTACGATAAATCGTGACAGTGGCGTCGTGTCATCCTTAGTGCCCCTGGACCATGAGGATCGGCGTGAGTTCGAGTTAACAGCTCACATCAGCGATGGGGGCACTCCTGTCCTGGCTACCAACATCAGTGTGAATGTATTTGTCACTGATCGCAATGACAATGCCCCCCAGGTCCTATACCCCCGGCCTGGCCAGAGCTCGGTGGAGATGCTGCCTCGAAGTACTGCTGCTGGCTACCTGGTCACACGGGTGGTGGGCTGGGACCCAGATGCAGGGCACAACGCCTGGCTCTCCTACAGCCTCTTGGGAGCCCCCAACCAGAGCCTTTTTGCTATGGGACTTCACACGGGTCAAATCACCACTGCCCGCCCAGTCCAGGATACAGATTCGCCCAGGCAGACCCTCACGGTATTGATCAGAGACAATGGGGAGCCATCGCTGTCCACTACTGCGACCCTGACTGTGTCAGTAACTGAGGAATCTCCTGAAGCCCTGGCTGAGTTCCCCGCTGGCTCTGCCCCCAGGGAGCAGAATAAAAATCTCACCTTTTATCTACTTCTCTCTCTAATCCTGGTCTCCGTGGGGTTCGCAGTCACAGTGTTAGGAGTGATCATATTCAAAGTTTACAAATGGAAGCAGTCCAGGGACCTGTACCGAGCCCCGGTGAGCTCCCTGTACCGAACGCCGGGGCCCTCTCTGCACGCGGACGCCGTGCGGGGAGGCCTGATGGCCCCACACCTTTACCATCAGGTGTACCTCACCACTGACTCGAGACGCAGTGACCCACTGCTGAGGAAACCTGGCGCCGCCAGCCCGCTGGCCAGCCGCCAGAACACTCTGCGGAGCCTCGATCCAGTGTTCTATAGGCAAGTGTTGGGTGCAGAGAGCTCCCCTCCTGGACAGGTAAGGGTTAGCAAGTCACCCTGGAATGATAATGTTTTTTGATTCCTGCATCGCTTTTAGGAACGTACGTAGCCATCTTCATTTTCAGTGATCAAGACATTTTCCTAATGATGCATCCACATTTTTACTTGGCTTTTCCCAGATCAAACGTTGTGCCTTTGGGGGAGGGAGATGGCCCAGCTGGAGTGTGGTTTGTGGTCCCACACAGTGTGGAGTTAATTCACTCATCTGTGGACACAATTCACACACTCAGCATTCACTTGGCATAGCAACTAACCAATCCTGCTAAAGGGCCATTAAGCTTTAACTCACCATCTCAGCACTCAGAGCTTAGCTTGGTATCATTTGCATTGAGTACAAGTTAATGGAAACCTCTAGCCAGTGGCAGCTGGTAGGAGTATAAAAACTACCTCATCTGTCCATCTTTCAAATGATTGTCACATCTGCATTAAAACAAATGGTTTGCTGATAATTTTCCTTTGACTACACAGATCCTCTTCCTCATTCTCAGATGGCGTTCTATGAAAGAGATAAAATTCTAGAGTCCTTTAAATTTTATTTCAAGGACACTACAGGAAATTACGTGGACATTACTTACATGTGCATTATAGAAAATTTGGAAAACATGGAAAAATATAAGAAAAAATTAAAACTAATTTTATTCCCAAATCCAAAGGTAACCACCATTCATTATAAAAGTAATATTTATTTTGAAAATAAATTCAGAAGGATATAAAGTACAAAATGAAGTTCTTTTTGCCCTAAGTATTAATTCCTATCCTTTCACCATTATTATGATTATTTTTTTTGGCATAAATGTAGTGTGATAGGCAAATTCATACCCTGAGAAAAAAGACAAAGCTGTCATTTATTCAGGATAGTGTCCAGGCCTTTGTTTTGGAGTGCAACTTAAACACACTTCCATTTGTGGGAGAACGACTATAACTTTGTTACTAATAAGTGTATTATTGCTGTCAACCTTTGGGTCTGGCAGTTAGACATAGGAAGCTCCACTTACCATCCATGAGTCCATGGCCAAGTTAATCTATTTTCTAGACCCATTTTTAGTGTGTGGAAAAGAAGTAGCAAGAGTTTTATAAGATGAGTGCATGATACAATATATGCACAGTGTTTGTTGTGTCATAGTTCCAAAAAATTCTTCAGCTACTAACCTGGAGATAGTTCAAGATGACAAAGCAGAGGCATATATGGAAAGGCTAAGGAAGGGTGAAAGCCAGAGAGAAGCAGCTGCTGCTTTTCTGGTCAGACTGGAAAACAACTGGCATTTTCCTTTGAATGATGTTCTCAAACGTGGTTGCACACCAGAATTACCTAGGGACCTTTTAAAAATCCTGAAACCCAGGCCACATCCCAGATGGATCAAAGCAGTCTCTTGGGATGGGACACAGGCATTGCTATGTTTTGAAGGTCCTCAAGTGATTCCAGTGTGAAGACAAATTTGAAAGGCATTGCCCTAAGACATGCCTGTCCATCAATTAGCATGTTTTTGAAACGAAGTGTTACTTTGGAGTTCACAGAACCAGCAGGCAGCCTTGTTTTGCCAGGCTGAACTTTAAAAAATTCTATAATGTTATTTCTCAACCTTAATAGGAAAGCACTGTAGGGAAGATGTGAGATAGTTCAGTCATCTAAGGAGAAAAATCTTCCTCAACCACTACCACCTGGGCAACTATTTCTTTAAAAATTTAGAGCTCAGCAATGGGTATGGTGTTTCTTTTAGGGGTGAAAACATTTTTCTATAATTATACTGTGGTGTTTGCATCATTTTAGTATATCTGAATATACTAAAAACTGTTGAATTGTACATTTTAAAGGGGTGAATTGTATGGTGTAATGGATAAATTATGTAGCTCAATACAACTGTTTTAAAAATCTAGAGATGGGAGAATCACATACTTGGCATTAAAAAGGTCAAGTCTAGGATATATAGGGTTCGGGCTTTATATAGGATCCTCCAGTTCAAGTATTAATAATATAGATATGTTTGCTTTGGTGTCAACTTGCAAATAAAAGGGATTGAGATCTAGAAGAGGTCTAGTTCTTGGATATTAAAGCCAGCAAAAAGGGTCAGTTGATGGCTACAGGGATGACAGACTGTTAGGAAAATGATTTAAGATGTTACAGAAAGAGGTTTTTATTTCTTTCTAGACAGACCAGAGGTGAAAGTGGGGAGACCCTAATACTGCACTTTATAGACTTTACACAAGTCTCCTAACATTTCTGAGCTTGTGTTCTCAAATATAAACTCTTCCAAAATTGTGTGAGAATGAAAAGTAATGTATATAAAATGTATACTCAATATAAAATACTCATAAAGTACAAGCATTCAATAGATACTTGTTGAACTAACAAGTGATAATAGCACTAATTCACCATGTATTGGTGAGTGTACCAGGCACTTTAAAAGATGAAAAGGCGCAGTCCCTGCTCCTATGGCACACGAGTACCATAGGAGATAGACATGCACACACACCCACAAAAATGATAAGGGAGATCTGTATAATATGAAGCAATGGAAAAGAAACACCCCAGTCAGCCTGGGGAAATCAGGAAGAATTCATACAGTTGATCATGCTTGATCTGAGAATGAAAGTTGAGTAGTAGTTTGTCAGATAATAAAGGGGAAAGGCGAGTAGAGAGGGACCCTTGCAGGAAATTCCATGCAGAGGGATAAAGATTTTTTATTATTGCTGAACCTTAAAGTGTATATTTGTAAAACAACTTTTTCAGGAGATAAAGTGAAACAAGTAGGCAGGAGTTAAATCTTGAGTTACCTTTAGGCTATGCCAAGGATTTTTTATTTTATTCTATATCCATGATAGTCATTGCAGGATTTTGAACTGATATAAATATAATGTCGTCAGAGTTTTTGTTTGTTTTGGAGTGATTATTCTAGTAGCCATAAATGAAATGTGTGTGTGTGCGCTTAGTCACTCAGTCATGTTTGACTCTTTGCAACCCCAAGGACTGTAGCCCGCTAGGCTCCTCTGTCCATGGAATTATCCAGGCAAGAATGGTGAAGTGAATTGCCATAATGGATTGGGGATACTGGGACTGGAGACTAAAGAAGATTTGCATGCATACTCAGTCGTGTCTGACTCTTTGCCAACCCATGGACTGTAGCCCACCAGGCTCCTCTGTCCATGGGATTTTCCAAGCAAGAATACTGGAGTGAGTTGCCATTTCCTCTTCTAGGGGATATTCCTGGCCCAGGGATTGAACCCGTGTCTCCTGCATTTGCAGGCAGATTCTTTACCACTGAGCCACCTGGGGAAGCCCCGTAATGTAACATGGGGTTTTTGTATTACATGGGGCTATTATATTACATTTAGAACATTTAGAAGGCTGTTATAGTATTTGAGAAGATTGAGAACCAGCACAGTGACAAATATAGACTGAAGGATATGACTGTAGTGAAATTATCAGCACTTATTCATTGACATGATAAAGGGAAGATGGAAGAGGAATGAGTCAAGAATGATCCTCCTTATCCCTCCCCACTGGCAGCTTGGGGGGAAGATGGTGTCATTCTACTGAGATAGTGAATCCTGGCATAAACACCTTATAAGCCAGACTGATTTACACCTGTCATTCCCATGGGAGAAGTTTTAGGTGTTTGGGGCTGAAAGAACACAGAAAGCAGATACCTCCCTTTGAGACCGAAATGTTGGTTGCTGGCCTCACCATCAAAAGGATCTTCTTGAAGATCAAGGGCTTGGGAAAACACCTGGGAGGATAACCTCTGGTTTTGCTACTGGTTTTGGAAATCCCATGGTCAGGGGAGCCTGGCGGGCCATGGGGTTGCCAAGAGTCAGATACAACTTAACAACTAAACACTACCACCAACAATAATTGGCAGCCTAGGTGAGGATTCAGATGAATTAAAAAAAAATCTCACATGCAAATCAAGATAGATTTTTCTCTTTGTGTTCTGGTGTGTTTGTGACTCCAGTTATAGTTTGCAGG